TTGCAAAGATAAGCATTTTGAAACGGGGAAAAAATACTTGAAGTCAGAATAAAGGAATACGCTTGCCAGCAGCCAAGCCTACAGACGATATTCATTGTAATGCAAGTCCTTCGAAACCTATTAGATGGGTCCGAAAGTTTTGTCGGTTTTTTCAATCCATCGGCAAACACGCTAGAATGAAGATAAACAAACCCTTCAAAATGTATCCAATGCAGAATTTCTTCCTCTTTCCAGCAGCTGAACTAGCATTGTGTTTCGTTGCGAGAATGACGAGATATTTGCTGGAAATTACGACCACTCGTTCTCACCGTGTCCAACTATCGCTAATTTTCAAAATTTTTGTATAAGACCTTCGGAGGAGCCCTAATAACCAGCGGATGGGGCAAACATTTTGCCAGCAGAAGCAATTTTTTGTAGCCCTACGGCTTGTCTTTCAGAATTTTTACGATTTATTTTTTAAAGTGACCAAATTTTACAATCAGCCTATTTTAACCTCGTAAAACATAAAATGTTGAACATTTTAGTCAACATTCGATGCAGAATTTTCTCCTCTTTCTAAAACTTGTCCTTTTTGGCCGAGACAGGCAAAATCTGTGGGAAAAATCGCAGTATTTCTCAATTTCAGGAGTGCGCACTGACGTAACATATGTTAAAAATCTTCACAATTTGAAGCGAAAATCGCTCATTTACTTTGTGATGGTAACGGTAGCAATAATCATGTGCTGAAACCCCAGTTTCCTATAGGTTTTGCAGTGTTTGGTGCAATAACAGGTCATGCTATTTTGCCAAAACACAAGACTTTTAGAAAATTATTTAGCAAAAATCTGAAACAACAGCTGAAAAAAAGAAAAAATTGCATAAGTTGGCGAAAGGATTGCTCTATCTGCTGGTTATTAGGGCCCTTCCGAAAGTCTCATACAAAAATTCTGAAAATTAGCGAAAGTTGGAGATGGTAAAAATGAGTGTTTGTAATTTCCAGCAGATATCTTGTCACTCTCGCAACGAAACATAATGCTAGTTTAGCTGCTGGAGAGAAGAAGAAATTCTGCACTGGATACATTTTGAAGGGTTTGTTTATCTTCATTCTAGCGTGTTTGCCGATGGATTGAAAAAACCGACAAAACTTTCAGACCCACCTAATATAAAATATGAAAAGCGACGAAAACACCGGTTAAATACTTTCAAAAATATGGATCAAGAAGACGCTAAGGCTCACGTAACTTGCACAAATGATCCGCAGGCTTATTTTTGCTATGCTGACACTGAAAATAATTAAAGCTCGACTTGTAGACGCATTTAGTGAAAACCTTGTGACAAATGATTATTGTTACCATGGATACTGTTGCGTGTGTATACCTGCATGATTAGCTTTACTAAGAGAAAGTCTGGAGAGAAAAAATTTCTTATTGAACCTTGATAGCCACGATGCAAAGTCTTTGTTATTTGATGGTGTAGCAACTTGATACAAGGCTGTGACACTCTAATTACGATGAAACGTCGACGTGCTAGCCCGAGCAGTTAAAAAGTATTCGAACTTTTTGGCTGTAGAACACAAACATCGAACGACTCATGGTGAAAAACTGTGTTGAATGTTCCAATTTCTCTAAACCTGAGCACTGTATATAATCTCCAATTTTGCTGAGATTCGAGATCGGAAATTGTGTAGGAACTGATCAAAGTCTGTGCACTGCACAAGTGTTTGAGTATGCTGGAACTGATGAGCTTCAGCTTACTTCACAAATAATGCTGCTTTTGCCTGTGGACCATTTAGATAAGATAATTCGTACATCACTGTGAACTCTGGCCTTGAAATTTTAATTTGCAAAATTCACAGTCTTTTTCTAGCTGATCTAGTTGCTATAACATTGAGCTTAAGATATGTTTGATGATGTCAGGCACGATGACTAAAATGAAAGTTCGCACCACTTCTGCAGCGCTGCATTCTGCTAATGTCATCCTACGAAAAGCTTCCTCAACCTTTTAGGAATGTAACAGATGAGCTAGTAAGATTGAATTGCTACTGCCAAGCAGGCCCTCGCGGTGTACCTCGAACTTGAGGCGTGAACCTTCATGTCAATTAAGAAACTTTTAAAGTTTTCATGCTGGTAGCATACGCCGCGCAAAATTAGGGCCCAGGACGTTGGTTAGGAGAGACGAATTTCGCAACAAACAGACAGACAGACAAACGCACACACACCCATATGTGTATGTGTTTATGTGTATGTGTATGTGTATATGTGTATCAGTAGGGACTCAGGATTTCCGCTCGAGGGGGGGGGGGACAAAAATTTTTTTTGGATGAAGGTGCGTGGCGTTAGCCACGCAATTCAAAAATTTTTTTGGGATGCTTTCCAAAATTTTTGCGGCCCCCTAACCCCAAAATTTTGGAAAAAGGGGGCGTGACGGCAGCCACGCCCCCGGAAAAAAATCTTTTTACAAAGCTAATTTGAATTTTCAAAAATTTTAGAAAATAATTTTAATTATTTACTAGTAAAAACAAGTCGCTTGCACATTTTTGTAACGCATTTGAGTAACTCTAAAAAAATTCGCGACCCATTCTCGGGGGGGGGGGGGGGGGAGGGGCGCGCCCCCTCCCTGCCCCTCCCCCCCTCGGTACGCCACTGATGTGTATATGTGTATGTGTATGTGTGTGTATGTGTATGTATATGTATATGTGTAAGTGTAGGTGTGTATGTGTATTTGTATTTGTATTTGTGTTTGTATTTGTATTTGTATGTATGTGTGTATCAGTCTTGTGCACATACGGGCATGCAAGGAGAATCGTAGGCCTGAGACATATCTCACGCGTTGCAGTTGCTGCGCGATACGGCGCTGGAACGACCGTTTATAATTAGTGCTTTGAACTCGATCCGTTTGCAACATTTCACAATGGTTAAGCGCATGCACTTGAGAACCACGACGAATAAACATCTGGCAAATTGCTAAGTGGCGCGCAGATCGCTGTTAGGCAAAATCGCTTGAGATACGCCTAAATCCACAGGGTATTTCGGTATCTGTCGGTAAACCACTGGATCTTTTCTGAGCTGAAAGCCAAAAGATACACGAAAGTGTGCGAACATGCCTTTTACGAATATGATGATTGCTGGCAATCGTCCAATGAAAATCTTACCAACGCGGTCGTACTTGTTTTGCTTTCGACGGCATCCTGTTAGTCGTGGCCGGTGGGCACTTCTCGCAGCAGTAAAAAAGTTTTGCACGTGATGAGGATGAGTACTTGTAGGTAATTATGGCACTAACCTAAAAAGGCACGCCTACACAGTCTACTCCGCTCGGCTCCTGTCAATTTACGTGATTCTCATATCTTCCAACATGGATTGCTTAATAATCTTGGCATCAGATACTTGATAATGCATCAACTGATTGAGCGTAGATTAAGATGTTAATCATTCTTTATTCACGGCCAACGTTTCGGTAAGATCGCTTTCGTCAGAGCCTAAAAAGTCAAAAACAGTGAAACATTCCTCTAGACGCCAATATCACAGCTCAAGATGGAAGTTAGTCTGGAGATAGAAGGTAAAAAAGGGAATCGGGCACTAATTCTCACCTTATGAGACTTGAGAAAGGTTTTTCAGACCATCATCTACTCAGATAATACCTCTTGCCTTATTTGTAGCCTCTAGTAACCCGACCTCGTATCAAAATCCACAGAGGGATCGATACGGCACGAGTCATTAGCAGGGTCAAGCGGGGGGTGTGGCACACGATTGTCGGATACGACCCCCCCTGGGCCGACCCTGGCACGACCCCCCCCCCCCCCATCCATCCTCTACACCCGCCCTCTCCTTCCCAATTTTTAGGTAACAACGTAAAGATAACTACATAACTTTATTGCAATTATTTCAGTTTAAAATGCAAATTAAATTCACAATTCTATTTGATACAAAATCTCCTGGAAAGTATATTATGTCCCTTGTTTGATCGTTGCTTCGAAAGAAGTCTATTCATTTGATATTGCGATGCAGGGCAACGCGCTTCTTGACCTCATATGAGAGTTGGATCCTGAAACAATGATTATTCGTCTGATTTGGAAGCATTCGTGTGTACTATGCATTAATAAGGTTAAAGAGTCACATACAGCACTTTCAAAGTTGTGGCTACGCTTTTCAAAACGTTATAGTGCGCGCAGTGACGAACTTTCGAGCACTCATAATGATGTAAGCAAAAACCACAACACTCAAGCTGTACAACAGGATGCATTTTCGCCTGCTGTTCGAGTCTTTCCGTGTATAAACAGCAGAGGTCACTGCTTTCTAACTATAAGAAAAAACACTCACTTGAACAAGGCTCCAACAGCATAGGATAGACGACACCTAAATTTCAAATTGAATCAAATTAAATTTCGATTTCAAATTCAAATTTCAATTTCAATTTGAAGATTATGTTAGCAGCAGAATAAGAAAACTTATAGTTGATTCACTGATGTAAAAAAGTGAAAACATCACGAAAAGTGAAAGTTGGCAACAAGCTTGGTGCAATCAAGGTTTTAAAGTACATTGTCCGAAAAGAAAAAGCTTGTGATGGCCTGGTGGAATGTGCAAAAAAGAATGAAACTCAATAGAACTGAGTTACTGATTCACCATTGAGATACCTCAGAAAGCCATATCTTGGAACGCCCATAAACGGCAGCGGAACTGGTAGGGAAACTGAGGTGCGCCCCTGTGCCAATCGATTGGAGCACGTTATCCTACGCGCACTTGGAGTTTTTGGGCACATAGCAGTCCTGTGTGGTACCTAACTCTCCTCATGTCTGTATTGCTGTGCGGCAACGATACAGACAATGTTATAGACAATTTCACAATGTTTTGCTTGTCTCTTTCCTGGTGATGGCTACGAGAAGGCATACTATTTGCAATACATCCGTCGTAGCTTTGTAAATTCTGTATTTTGCTTGAAGGTGGATGTTCTAACGTGATTGGTTTGGAGAACGATTGTGAAGTTGACCATTGAAATTAATTTCTTCTCATCCTGCTCAGTTTCAGTGAATCTGCTATGCGAAACAATTATAGTTCTTTGGAGTACAAGCGGACATGTCAAGCGGCAGCGTCAGGAATGGCTGCAGGTTAGCAAACACACTTTTCACAAAAACGATTCGTCCAATCCCTTCATATTCCAGGAATTTTGGGACTAACAGGTATGCCTGGCTTTATCTTCTACTTCGTAACGGTGGCCATCCAAGTAAGTTTCTATGTTCTTTACATGTCTTCTTCGATTTGAATCTCTGAACTCAATAAAATATTATGACCGTTTTAGGCCTTATTCTGGGAAGCCAATGCATGTCAACTTTTTGAGTAGTTCATATCTCCATTCAGGTCACAGAGCTCACGGAGCACTTGAGAAAACCGGAAAATTCGTTTGACTCGGACGCAACGGATTGTATTTACAGGGCCATAAAGGTAAAATTCTACCTTTTCTACGTGGTTGATCTTTTGAAATGCATAATCGTGAACCGAGATGGAGGGCAAAAACACTGCATAGGCCTAATGTAACGAATATCAATGATGTTATTTTCTAGTAGTCTTTGCCCGTTCAGACACGTCACCTGATGCAATTTTTTTCATGAAGTTTTCAGATCATGGCTGGGCAAACACAGAATAACTCACTTGGTTCACTGTGTTCATCACCAGTAAGGTCTCCAGTACCGGGCAAGGTAAAAGAATCTCTGGAAAATGTATAGGTTGTTATTTCTTTTGTAAGTTATCGGTTGATCAAATCTACGGCAATATAAATCTTCTTTACTTTTAGATCGTGATAACTTAGCCACCGGGGATCACAGGATGGAAAATGAACTCAGCTTCAGCCCCACGAGCCAAGCCGGAGTCATCAGAGAAGGGGTCACAGGTTGGCATACTTTTTCTTTGCGTCCATCACCCTTTCTAGAATAAGTTTTCTTGGACTTTAATGTGCTTTCATATGCAAATTTTTATCTAGAACGAGCTGGAAACGATCGTACCACGTCTTACTCTAGAATCCTCACCTACCACGTCGGTAAATCATACGCCATTGCCCTCACTCCATAGTCAGCTGCTACCTGTCGACACACCAAGGTTACGCACAAGTATTGGTGAGCCTTCGCATTGTTGTCATCGATGTTATAATCGACGTAGCTATCTTCAAGCTTCAGATTTTGTCTATCTTTTTCTTTTTGGTCTTGGTACAGCTTTGATTTTCTATTACTTTTATCTTCCCCCTCTATACAAGGGTCCGGTGTATTTATCTCCTACCTCTCTATCTTGCCACAGCTCTATCGATGATTCTAGTTGTATATGGTGTATTAGCAATGGTAGCCGTTTTAGCGGAGTTTTACAGTCTACAGTTCTAACGTCATAGCTATTAGATTCACTTTCACTATCCTCAGCATTCTTTGGATGTTTCTTTCTAGTGCAGCTTTTTGAATGTTCGTTTTTTGAATGATTGCACCTTATTGATATAAGCTTTATAGTGAGCATCTTAGCTTTGCACATAATAAACACCTATTAAAGAGATGAGAAATTAACCTGCACAATGTACACAATCCCTGATTGAGGTTTGCATGATACAGAGGAATCACATCCCTACGCCGTTTTAAGGCCTAAGTCGTCAAATAAGAGCTTTGAGACTGAGATCAAGAACATCCGTTGTTTGATTTTCTACTAAAACAATATCGAAACCATCCAAATAAAGTTCCAGCAATCTTTCAGCCTGAAGAGGTTCATGAACAGAAGAATAAGACTTATCAGAAACAGAAAAACATCAACTGAATCAATTGAGGTTCATTTAAGGGACATTCAAAGTGTTCGTCTATGTAGCTGTAAGATGTTTTTTCTTCTTCTCTAGTCTTAACTGCGCCCTCTAAAAAAGACAATGTGGCTATGAATGGTCATCTGTTCCAAAACTTACACTTTTATACTGCGGTTGTATACGAGACGGCGCCGGACCAGCCCCGGTGGTCTGCATCACTGCCCTCCTCACAACACGGTTTTCAAGCGCTTCTCGGGGCATTTCTCCCAGCCCGTTCTTCATGAATTCGTTCATCTGGTTTATCAGATCAAGACGATTTGATTTTGCGTACGCCTTCGCCAACTCTCCAAATTGATTTTTTAGCTGTAAAACACTATTTATATAGAAGAAAGCAGAAGAAAGCCTTAACTGACAAATTTAACTGTTCCTTACCCCTTCGGCTTCTTGCAGCGCTTCTTTAATTTTATCGCATTCTTCTACTGCCGGTGCCGGTAGAAGACGTCTCTCTGGATGAGCGATAATGTGAAGGCACAAACTAAAACACATGAATTAACTTGAAAGCATAAAGTAAACACAAGATATCAACGAATGCGTAGCGACAATGTGAGAGCACAAACTAAAACACATGATCTAAGCATGAACTGAAACAAGAGTAAAACGTAATAACGACTATTGCGGATACGAGCAACAAAAAGGAGATTTCCAGTATTGTTGTAGTGATGCTATGCATGCCGTTTGAAAGGACGAGGTGATAAACCGTATTGCGGCGACTGTTCCTTGAACTGAAATGAACTTAATCCAAAGAACTATAATTGTTTCGCATAGCAGATTCACTGAAACTGAGCAGGATGAGAAGAAATTAATTTCAATGGTCAACTTCAGAATCGTTCTCCAAACCAATCACGTTATAACATCCACCTTCAAGCAAAATACAGAATTTACAAAGCTACGACGGATGTATTGCATATAGTATGCCTTCTCGTACCCATCACCTCCTTTTACAAATAGTACAGGAAAGAGACAAGCAAAACATTGTGAAATTGTCTATAACATTGTCTGTATCGTTGCCGCACAACAATACAGACAATGAGGAGAGTTAGGTACCACAAAGGACTGCTATGTGCCCAAAAACTCCAAGTGCGCGCAGGATAACGTGCTCCAATCGATTGGCACTGGGGCGCACCTCAGTTTCCCCACCAGTTCCGCTGCCGTTTATGGGCGTTCCATATCTTGCCACCTCAGAAAGCCATATCTTGCCATTCATTTGATGGGACGGCGTGTCATACGCCGCTTCCATACCCTGGAAATACAGAAAAAGTGATTGAAAATGAGATGAAGAGAGAGGGAGAGAGCGAAAAAGCGAGGAAAAAAGAGAGAAATCTAAGAAACTGCACATCTCAAGATGAAATTTTAGCTCGCGCAGCGCATTTCAAAGACTCGCGTCTCGCGGGTTTGTGTTTTCGCAATTTTGCAAGCGCTACCGTACCCGAATATTTTCAGACGGCACTCCCAGGCGTATGGTTCACAAAAAACATGCGTATCTCCTTCTAAAAGAAAGGGTTCGGGGGGGGGGGGGGGGGAAACTGCTACCACGGAGAGAGGATGGATAATTTCATAGGATGATATGAAAAAGGCAGCTGTTTCAACGTTTTGAAGGTAAGTTAATGGGGTGCGGCACCCCCCCCCCCCTTTAAAAGCTGCGGCAGCCCCAGCTTCTAAAGGGGGGTGCCGCACCCCATTAACTATATCAAAAAAACATTTTTAGCGGACAGTTTATATGAATCGGCAGCCTAAGCTTAATGTTGAGCCTGATTCGCCCTCTTAGCACTGAATAATATTTGGTGAAAGCGCAGCCATCAATAACAAAAAATGGGAAAAATGTGATTTTGGTTGGCTTTTAATTCCACAGTTGGTGGTCTTTTGAAGCGGGATTTCTGAGGTGGACGAAGAAGGAGTAGCGCTTTGTCTTGGGTGCAAAAACGGATACTTAATTCACCTCTGAAACAAAGTTAACATGTTGGAATATAACCATTTCACTTAGGTAGCCAAGTATCTTGAGTCTTCAGAATTCGCTCAAACTTTGTCTACAGGGGTTAATTGACATGCTTATTACAGATATGATACGAATATCATGTTATCACTATTATCAGATCACCCAACTATGACCCCTCCTCTTTTGACTCCTCAATACGACACCCCAGGTGTGGCGTGCCACACCTCACGCTTGATCCTGGTCATTAGTGATCGCAATGCACTCCTCTTTCCGGTTCATTTTTGTACTATTGGCGTTGATGCAAAACGCTTCCAAGGCCTGGCGCGCAAGGAGTTCGAGCTCATACGCTAGTGTAAACACTCCAGCACTTTTCTCAGCTTCGTGGCAGGAAATACGATGGCTGCCTAACGGGGAGGGGGGGGGGGGAGCACGCGAAAGGCGACAATCAGCGAGAAATGGAGGCTGTGTATCATCCGTCTCAATGATTTTCACGGATTTCTACTTGTGGCATTGAGTAATGTATCTGCCCCCCCTCCATCCCCCCTAGTCCCCCGGGGTGTCACTTTGACACCGGAGAGTTTTTGATAGGCACAAAATTGGGTATTGTCGCCTTCCGCACCACACCCGCCTAACGGAGTAGCTGGCTTTGATTTGTTAAACCCAACCAGATGTTCTTTAACGCGGCAGCAAAGATGGCGTCCTATTTTTCCGATATATGTATCACCACACGATAAATATGTGATGAGGTAGATAACTCCGGAGACCATGCAATTACACCCTTTGCCAAATGGGCAAACGACGCCTGCTGGAGTTAGGCATGTACGATTGGGATGTACGATCGATTTCAAACCAACTGACGTTTCAGTTCGGAGGCGGTATATCGACCACCCTGACGACGCCCTTCGAACCCGCGAAATGTACGCATCGCCGCACCGCGCTGCTTTATCCCATATGAACGGCAAGCAAAAACGATTTTTGTAAATGGCGTATGCAGGAAGCTGCTATTGGTTCTACGTCCTGTTAATCCGTGAGGGTTAGGAGTAGCTCTGCTCCAGCGTCCCGGTTAGACATGGCTACTTGATAAGTTGAATCCATAGAGTAAATCCTTTCTCGGATACTCGAAGAAACTTTTGCCCCTATTCGATAGGTGTTATTGATAGCAGCTTTTTTGGTTTTGCGCAGACAAATAATGCACTAGAATGTTTTTACAGCTAACCTCGAATCATTTGTCAATTAATATGTGAGATTGCACATCAAGACCTATAAGCGAAGGCACCCATACTATGTAGTAAATTCCCAGTAAAACATTTTTTAGCCTGAAGAAACGTAGAAATGTGTTCTACTGACTAATACATAGCCAACTAAAACAAAAGAAACAAGGAAACAAGGAGAAATTACTGAAAATGAGCAGGTTCTAGCTTCGCAGTTCATCAGTTAGCGTGTACACTGTGCACTACGCATATTAAATTACAAATGACTCGACGATATGTTTGCGGTACCATTTAGTTTTACATTCTCTACCGGATATGTACGTTTGTACACCACGGGCGGTATGTGTCAATAGCCCATCCGAGTAAGTTACCCGGACAGGTAGTTTCGCTTCACAGCTCGGTGCAGCTGGTGACCTATGCCCTTGCTTGCCGCTCATATTTTGGAGGCTCTACTACCCTGATATTGTAGCACTTTGCTGTATAAGCTGAGATAATTCCTTATTTGTATGATCCCGAACGGGATCTCCCACTGATCACGCTCATTCTGAAAGTTATTTAGTTATTCAAGTTATCCGCAAAAACTCAATGAAAACGTTACAGAGTTTTGCTGTCGATGTATTACGACAGTGCCACGCATTTTCAGTAGCATAGATGAAATGTGCAAATTTTCAGTTTTTCGATAAAGCCCAACGCGCTAGCACAGTCAACGAAGATTTTGTCAACTTGATCTTTCACCTATTTTTTCACAAACTGCGTAGCACTTTCGTAATAAATCGACAGCAAAACTCTGTAACGTTTTCATCGAGCTTTTGCTGATATAAAATAACTTTGAAAATGAGCGTGATCAATGGGAGGTCCCGTTCGGGATCATACAATAACGAATTATCTCAGCTATACAGCAAAGTGATGCTACTCATTGTGCTACAATATTAGGGTAGTAGAGCCTCTAAAAGATGAACAAACAAGGAAGAACACAGATCCCCAGAGCACCGAGCTATAAAGCGGAAACTACCTGTCCGGTTAACCTAGCCGAACGGGCGATTGATACATACCGTCACCTCTGCTTCGCAGAGGTTCGCACTGGCCCTATTATTTGTATGCCTTCTTCGTGATCGCATAATAATGACTTTGAAACTCACCGCGCGATGCCGATCATCACGAATGAACTGTAAACAACAGTTCATTTTCAAAGCTTTTCCATGTAAGATCGACGATTTTGGGTGAAAAAAAAATTTCACCGCAAAAGAACTAATGCGATTTTGAATGGGTTACTGAATTTATTTTGTCTTTATAGTCCCCGTATGGATACTCAAAAATCCTTTCAATATTTAACACATTCACGACAATACGACCACCGGTGGGTCACAAGATTCCTGAAGCTCTACCTTTGCCAGTTTGCGATGGAATTCTACGGGGTGCTGATATATGATTGGGGACACCTTGGCGAAGCTCCAGCCAGAGTGGTCCGAGTTTGGGATACTGTGATGTAGTGTTACGGTAGGTATACCGTAGATAGAGATGAGGCACAGATTCAGCTCAAATTATTCGCGGAGTGGTGCTGTTCTTGAAAATTCAAGATTACATGCACGAGAAATACGGGGAGGGCACGAGGCTAATGTTAGCTCATCAAAAAAAACCATCGATTTTATTGATTTTATTAATTTTTGCCATCGTTCTTTCCAGGAAGCTTAAATCTTACATATGTAGGTTTTCTAGCATGCTGGTTATGATGGATGGCATAGCAGAAGTTTCCAAGTCGTCTACTTGAGAGATAATAACTTTTTCTTCGTTTTTTCTCCATTTTTTCTCTCTTATTACCTTAACACTAAACTATGTTCTCGCTGCTTGCACACCTCACAATGAGACCAGTAAATGGGTGGAGCAATGGGCGGGGCCTCACTCTGAGGCGGAACTGCTAGAATCCTCCTTGGTGCGGATGCTGGTGCGAAGTTGGTGCGAGGAAAGGCGCTAGGGACTCCTGCACGCCCTCCGGGAGGAGGTATATCTGAGTAGACGGTGATCCAAAACATCTTTTCAAGTCTCATAAGGTGAGCAATGGTGCCCGGTTCTCTACTTTGCCTTTCTCACTATCTCCAAACTAACTTTCGTCTTGAGCTTTGATCTTGGCATATAGGGGCAGCATCATTCTGTCGCAAATCATGGATCGATAAGCCACTAACAAAAGCCTAAATATCCTGACTCAAAATTTGTCGAAATCAACAAATCTGTGCAATCTGTAACCGAAGAAGCAAAGATATATAACTATGCCATGCAGTAATCAAGTGACACACAATAGCAAAAGTCAGTCATTGAGACGGTGTCTAGAGACAAACGATTTGTGG